ACAAAATAAAACTTTTTTACTGCTGGAGAATTATGTCCCCCAGCAACTCTTCCCTTAATTTCTGGGACACAGCACAGGAAAAGTTAGTTACACAAAATGCATCTCAGCTTTTTCCTTATGGAAGGGCTCCAAATATTCCCTCCAGGTGCCTCTTTGCAATCTATAAAACTCATCTTGGGAGAAGCTGTGTTTATTCATTTCATTTTCCATTGCAGGGAGCCACAGGCAAATGCCCTGTCAAATTCAACAAGGCAATGGAAAGGAAATGCGTGGAACTGACAGAAAGAATTTCTTCCTCTAGTATGTAATTAGGGAACACAAGAGACAGATACTTGTGAGAATAGGTTAAAAAAGATCGTGCTCACTTTGTGCTTTGGCACCACTCTTCCCCAGCACACTGTGTCCAAGTATGTCCTCTGAACGGACTATGAGCAACAGAGAAATGGCAGGCAGGTCATTCCAGCCCAGAAATTTAAGAAAATAGCAGGCTGAACTTCCAGTTTGCACCCAGCTCTGGATACCAGGATGAGTACCAGAGATCTCTGGGAAGTTTATAAGCAAGCTGCAAGGAGATGGCCTTCCCCTCTTGTATAGCTTCCTCCCCACCTGGTACCTATGACATACAACCTCTGCATCTGGAGGCTTCATTTCTCGATTATGGGCAGGGTCTCTTCTACAGAGTCAGTCTTTGTGAATTGAGGCAACCCACTTTTAGGCTAGCTACACCCAAGTCACATTTGATGGGATCTGATGATTGATATCATCTTGGGCAGCTCGTGAGGAATACCAAGGTGGACCCTTCTGGATTACTGAAGCAGCCTCAAATGATGGTTTTGAAACTTGGCTGGAAGCAAACCCTGGTTAAGAGGGCTGGGCAAAATTTAAGCAAAGGGAAACCAAAAGGAAATACTGTAAAATGGCTCACAGTACCCCTCTTGCTGGGGCAGGGAAACTGGTTCTTTCTCTTATCATGCTTTCAATATGCGTCTGTGTTTTTTTGTAAGTGGTTTTTGTTTTATTGTTAGTCCCGCACAAGCAGCTGTGGACAGGAAGGAACAATTTAAACCCAGCTACTCAACAAATACTTTGATTATACTGTTTGCTGTAGTTTTGTTGTGTTTTAAACCTGTTGCTTGTATTTCAAAGCTGTGGCTTTAAATTTTGTTTAAAGCTGGTGTTTAAACCCAACAGGGTTGGCTTTATTTTAGCTTCCTTGCCCATGTTTATAGCAGGGTCAGACAATCTCTTTTGTAGCCAGAGAGCGGGAAGGGAAGGGAAGGGAAGGGAAGGGAAGAAAGAGAAGAGAAGAGAAGAGAAGAGAAGAGAAGAGAAGAGGTCTCCCAGGGTGTGGCAATGTTGCCTGGTTTATTGGGAGAACTGGTCTCAAGAAAAATGCTATATAGTGTTTTCAAAGGCAGAACAGTGGTTGTTAAACCAGGATATTTAGTCTGGATACACCTGAGAAAGACAAAAGGCATTTGATGGGGTGGGGGAATATCATCTCCTTCATAAAGTACATATGGGCTGTGCCCTCTGGATGCAGATTGATCAGGGGTTTCATTTCCACAAAAAAAGGGGTGGACCAGGCCAAGTGTGGCCCGCAATCAATTTTCATGTGCCTTCTCTCGAATCTCAAATAAACACCTCAGCTCTCAGTCAAGGCACATTTTGCCCAGGACAGTGCAAGAGGGATGAGAAAACACATGTTCCCACCCCTTGGGGTAATGGCTCCACCCACTACCTGCTCCAATCCCACCCCTCATTGCCCCCCAATGTGGCTCTAAGCTGATTACTGATGTAGGAAGCCACAGGCCATCCATCCATAGCAGAAGAAACTCATTTCAGGCATGGCTCAGGTTATTTGTCACCAAGGGACCGTGGCGGACGTGTTTTTCCCTTCCCACATTCCAAACAAACACCCAAACAGAGCTTGAACGGAGCCGACAAAGAAAGAGATGGGTCATTAAAAACAGGTCTGAAAGACTGAAAACAACCGATCTGTCATTTGAAGTCATATAAAGGAAGATGGCCAGGTTGAAGCAGTGATCAGCATGAGTAATTTGGACTCGTACAACTCCGTTTCAGAATCTATTCAGATCACTAAAGGCTGTGCGCTTACCTTGCACCAAATCACCTCCCGCACAAGATGCTAAGCTACAGATGGCTCAATTCTGGCTTATTAAACACATCACAACTGGCCATGTTTACATCACACAGTTTGCAAACCATAATGGCATTCTTGAAACCGAAACCAAGAGAGCCAGATTGTGACTTCAGATACAGATGTGAACCAGGCCTTTAAAGAGGTAAGTTGTTAGGATGGCTTTCTGCAAACTCCACACACCATTAGCCCATGGTTTACTGAATAAACCACAGCTGGATGGGGTCTACAGGACATGCGTAGCTGTGAAGAATGATTTGTAGGCTCTCGTTTTGGGCTTGCCCAATGTTGCAAAGTCAACACCAAGCCAAGCCTCTTATACTTTACCACAATTGAGAAACCAGGCCGTTGATTAGGATGAGTGATTGCTGAGTTTCTCCCTGAAGTATGAGCTGAGAAAGGAAGGCAACTGCAATCATGGAGGAGGAGGAGGAGGAGGAGGAGGAGGAGGAGGAGGAGGAGG